TTAGCTCTCGTAGACACCCTTGCCTTTTCCACTTGGTCGCCACCCCACTACTTCCACCACGATTGCTGCTGTGCTTTTAATACTTTCCGGGTTCTCCTGAAATCCCTTCTCCACATCACGGTCAGAAAGATTTGCAAAATTTTATCTTACAGATCTCCGGTACTTGCCTGTTGAAAGTCTCTGAGGTCATTGCACAACACTCAGAATGAAACCCTTATACAATTTTCCTGGTGTCTGAGACTCTGCTCTCCTGCCTTCTGCCTTCACCATAAGCTCCTTTGCCATTTGCCTCCATGGCAGCCATTTTCTTGGCCCTAATTAGCTAGATCCAATAGCCAATAAGATCTCACTTCCAATGTTACCTCTTCAAAGATGCTCTCCCTAACTACCTAACTTACCATCTTTTCCATCCCATCAATTCCCATAACACTTTTTTAAATAGCACATTGCCCAATCTAAATATGTCTGTTTACTTATTTTTCATAATCTTTTTTCTCACCTCAATGCTTATTCACACCCCTGCAGAAAAGCACATAAAATATTTATGTTATTCATGGACTACTGAATCTCCAGACCCTTAAATACTGTCCACCATAAAATAGACATGAAATCATACTTACAGAATTAGTGAATGGCTTAATGTGTGAGCAAATTGAAAATAGTGCTGGAGGGTTTTTCAAAAGAAAAAAATTGAGATAGGGTCTCATGCAGCTCAGGCTGGTCTCAAACTCACTGTATACTAGACAATGAACCTGAGTTTCTAATTTTCTTTCCTTCACTTCCCTCATGCTGAGATCACAAGCATGTGTCAACAAGCCTGGATCATGTGATCCTGGATTAAGCCCAGGAATTCCTGTGTAGTAGACACATACCCTGCCTACTGGAATTGTAACCCTAAATACTTCCTCCAGAGTTGATGGTTTTTGTTATTTTTAAAATTAGTTTATTTTTCATATGCCTTGGTTATCTCCTGCTGTGTGATTCATCAAGGACAAGAAGCAGTTTGCACAGCCTGTGGTACCACTTAATAAGCATACACACATGCATTCATGCAGGTACCACTTATAAGCATACACACATGCATTCATGCAAGCACACATGAGCGGAGGAGTGCATCAGCTGAAGCAGGGCATTGATGCCTTAAGTATCAACAGTCAGGTCTTATTTAGGTTCTGGGCAGACGTGGCCTGACAAACAGTCTTCATCCCCATTTTTGTTGACCGAGTGTCCTTTCTGTGGAACGAGTCAAGGACACACTTACACTGGGTTGCTTTTTCTAAGACCCAGCTGAGCTTCTACCACCAAGCAGAGTTTACACCTAAGTAGGAAAGCAGTGGGCAAGCCAACTCACTGTCTCAAGTCATCTGGTTTAAACAACATCATCAGGGCATGACAGCTTTTCTTCTCTGGATGATTGTTGCTCGTTCCCTACTTGTCTGGACCATTGTACTTATAGGTTGCAGATACCACCGGATGGTTCAAGTTGCCGCCTGTCACTGGAGTTCTTAAACAGGACTCTTCACAGTCCCTTTTCCTTTCTGCTTCTCTTTTTCCTGTTTCTCTCAAAAATCTTCTCTGCCAGGGTTCCTTTTCTCAAGTGGTTTAGAACCATTTCTTTCCAGGTAGTCAGCAACCTCCTTGCCTAGTGCTGAGGACAGTCCCTGAAATCTGGGATTATCTTTGTTGTTTGTGTTACAAGTTGTCATAAGTAATACGTAACAAAACTGTGTAGGCCAGTTGAAGCTCTCCTTTGTACATTGCCCTCACACCTTTGAAATCAGTTACTACATGAAGATAAGTGTTGTGCTATAGAACCATACAGTATGCTAATGATGTTTCCCAGCCTGCCAAGCATTAACTGCTTCTAGGGTTAATCAAAATCTCCTTCACACTTGTATTAGATGAACCCTTGCTATTTCTAGTGATACGGGCTCTCTTAGGATTGCCTTATTCCTGAATGGAAGAACCATTTTCATCATCTAATCCTCGTAGAACATTGAACCATTTCTTACCCTAAGCTAGGGCCAAGCTCAGGATCCCTTGAGATCAACCCGCATAGCCTGCTAAAATAATATCCATCCCTAAGCATGCCAGTTTCCCCATTCTTCTTTGCCCAGCCCCTACCATGGAAAGCATAATAAAGTCTATTGCCAAATTTTCTTCTTACTTTATTTCCAGAAAAACCCTGGACATGACAGTGGGGGTAATGTATCCCTTCTCTTGGGGACTATAAGAATAAACTCTTCCTTTAAGGGCCTGTGGGCTAGTAATATTCTCTCTTCTCATCAAGCACAATTCCGGATACACTTAGCCCATTCTTGCTCACTACCCTTTGAATGAAATAGGTATTATTTAGTGTGAATTGCACAGATGGAGATGTGAGGACTCAGTATTTGAACAAAGCCAGTCTTCCAATCATATGATAATTTATCTTTACATATGAATTCATATATCCAAGAAGGTATAATTATGGACTTATCCTATCATTGTCATTGGTTAAAGCTTTTCACAAAATATTCCCGGCAAAAATTATTTAATCATGTAAGCCTTAACTGTAAAGCTCAACCCTGTTTCCTCTTCCCATTTAAGCTTATGTTTCAGCCCTAAACACTACTAGTCCATAGCAATGTCTTACAAATAAATGGACCACTGACCCTACTCCCAATGCTGTAGACTGCCAGATTAAGAGTAATGTACAGTAAGACCTTTGCAGTCACTTCCCTGACTCACAAGTCTGTGAATTCAGATCATTTCTTCTGACACTTAGACTAAACTAGGAGTCATTGTAACAAGACAGTATAGACCCAGTCCCTTGATCTTTGGGTCCTCAGATGGTTTTACTAGGAGAAAGCTAGCCTGGTGAACAGTAGCTTTTTCGACTTGTTTCTTCACAAGGCCAAGACTCAGTGTGTGTTACTGGGGGCATTTATCCTCACTTCATCTTATCTCTGCTTCTTTACTGGCCTCAAATATCCTTTTCCCATCTGGAATCCTGTGTGCTTTTCTCCATTCTCAAAGTCTCCAGTAACTTTTCCTGTCTCAAGTCACCTTTCCCTCCATAGTGTAACCACGGCCCTGCCCCCACTTCCTGCTGTGAATCAGACCAGCTGGTGTTTGAGAAGATCTGAGCACTCCACCACTGAGCAGCTGGGATGACCTCAGAGCTGCCTCCTGACCAGGCTCTTCTAATGTATCCTCACCCACATTCAAGACACAGGTTGTGACTGAAGGATTTCTAAGCACAGGACCTTACTGTCAGTCCTATATGGGGTACCACTCATAAGACAGCCTTTCCAGCAGTTCATCCTGGATCTAAGCATCACAGTGTCCAGAGAACTCTGTGTGCACAGAAAACTCAGACTCGTTATTTGGAAGAGAAGCATGTCATTAAAACCGACAGGCATTTCCTTATCTTCTTTGGGCATAGGGGCTAGTGGAGCCTGGGAGAGCAGTGGCGATCCCCAAGTACTGGTAATGCTCCCAGTATCACGGAACCCCTGTCTGCACGCCATTACTTCTCTTGCAGCCTTGCAGCCCATGACCTCACGGAGGAGTCTTGTCTCCCACTTCTGTCTTTGTAATACCCCTTCTACCGATATGGTTTTCACTATAGCTGATAAAACTAGTGGTATGTACTTTGTCCAAGGGAAGATGTTCTAATTAAAAAATTTAAGACTGAAAAATATACAGGAGCTAAGCATCTTCACAGGTGGGACTGGGGCAGTATTCATTTTTTCTCAGCCCCTTGGAAATGAGAGCAGGTAGGATGCCTTTGTATCCTTCAGCAACTGTAGTAATAAACACGAAGAGCTTAATGCTTATTTTTGAATTATATTTCATTTTGCCAATTGTGCGGAGCCCTGCCTAATTTAACAAAAGGCTTCGAGAAAAAAAATACAGTAGAGCAGATGCACATAGCAACCATTAAATTAGGATACAGGCGTGAGAGGCACGCAGCGAAGGGAGGCTTCTGCCAGGCAGAGCAGGAGCAAGAATAATGGCAGGCCCAAGGAAAGCTGGCGCTCTTGGGTTTAGACTGAAGGAGATGGATCTGAGCCCAGAGCAACAGCGAGATTGGCCTCTAAGAACACTGTATCCCAGAGTCCCCTCCTGACACTATTATGGTGCTCTCTCCTGCCATCATAAAGCCATAGATGGATTTTATGAAGATCAGTCCTACTACATTTTAGCATCTCCCGGTGATTTTCCCAGCTCTTACTTTTCACTACAATAAGATGCACAGATAATGGGGACTATTTTGCATGTTGCCTTGTAAGAAGAAATTCCGAATTGCCAGCCAGAGAACAGACAGGAAAGGGATGGGCGTTGAGTGTTTCTAGGTAGGCCATCAGAGCAGGAAGCTTATTCCAGCTTTTTGCATAGGCCCAGGGAAGCTGTGCCTTGGAACTAAAGCCTGGATGGAGAGATGCCGAGCGGTGGGCATTCAGGTTGGCTCAGCTTCCTAGAGTGGCAAAAGCAGTTCGGTTCTCCAGGGCGGGGTCTGACAACTTCTGCCTGGCATCGCGGAAGGAAGGTGCTAGTGTCAGTTTTCAATTTGCTGCCTTTCCCCAGAACTCCTTCTCCAGCCCTCCCCCTCTATCTTCCCACCCATATCAGGGGAGGCAGCCAGAGGGACTCAGCATTTCCTCATCTTGCTCCCGTACAAGGAGAGAGTGGAGCCCCCTGAGGCGCCTGGCACATTCCCTCAGGGATCCCGGCCTCTGTGGGCGCGCCGCTCACGGCGCGTCGGGGGTTAAGGTGGTCGCCCGCGCCCCGCACCCGCCGGGATGAGCGCGCAGTCCGTGCCGCCTGCTAGCCTGCTAGCTCCGAGTCGACACCCGGAGAAAGTGGCGGTCAGGGATGCAGCTGCTGCCATGACAACCCTGGCGATCAGAGCCCGCGTGCATAGGGGCTGCTCCCCGGAGGAAGGCGGCGCGGAGGCCGGGGGCGGCCGCTGAGCGTGGCGTCCGCGCGTCCCCGCGTCCCGTGCAGCGTCCCCGGAGGAGGCGGGGGCCGCAGTCCGCTCAGCTCCCCGCGCCCAGAGCCTGCGCCGCGGCGCTCCGCGGACTGGCTAGGGCCGGGCTGGCGGGAGTCGCCCACCGGGCTTCGGGGAGAACAGCCTCAGAGCGGAGGATCCGGGTTAGCCGGCTGCGGGTCTCTCCGTGTGCAACTTTTTATCGCCTTGGGGACCAGATGCGAGACTTGGAGCTGTTTTCTAACTCTAGCCATACATGTGTGTGATCTAATAAAACATTTTCTCCTCTCCTTGAAGCAGGAGCTTTTTATGACAGCTCCTTTCTGTCAGAGACACTTGCCTTCTTTGGGTTATAAACTTTTGATGCCAGACCTCTGCAGAACGCGCCCAACTGAATCTTAAAGTAGCTTCACCGAGAGAGGCAGAGAACGCACAATCTGTGACCTTCGTCCCTGCTCCTTCTTTCCTGCTCTCTCTCCCCCGCGGGCTCCCTCCGCCCCAGGGAGCGTCGAGAAAGCTCTTTTTTTGGATGCAGGAGGGGGCATCTGGTTCTGCTAGGCTGGAAAGCTGAGGCTGGAGACGAGGAAGAATTATTAGGCTCCGGAGAGCCTGGACTCAGCCTCTCCTTCTCCCGCTCCCAGCTTGCTCTCTCTCCCTCTCTTTGCTTTCTGCCCCACAACACTTCCGGCTGTTCTGAGAGGGCAGGGGACAAGGACCGTGCCGCTACGGGAGTTCTGGGAAGTTGTGACTGACAAGGATGGGGGTCTGTGGGTACCTGTTCCTGCCCTGGAAGTGCCTCGTGGTCGTGTCTCTCAGGCTGCTGTTCCTTGTACCCACAGGAGTGCCGGTGCGCAGCGGAGATGCCACCTTCCCCAAAGCTATGGACAACGTGACGGTCCGGCAGGGGGAGAGCGCCACCCTCAGGTAGGGAGCCTTCCTTCATCTGGGGACTGAACCCATTGCACATGGCTTCAATGGGGAGGGGGTCAAGAAAAAGAAAAGAAGGCATGAAAGAGGGCCACTGGAGCACGTGAGAGGCCTTTTGCAGGCCCAAGAAGTGGCCACTTGCGTCGTGTGCTTGCTGATACCATTTTTTCTTGAATGGCTTTGTCATTTGGTCCTCTGTTGGTATGCAGTTTTACAGGGACTGTTGAAGTCTACACTTGGAACTCCATGTGTTCATGGGGCCATGGCCCCATGGTGTGGACGCCCGGATGAGACTTGTGGGCCCTGGCATGAAAACACTGTGTGGTTAACTAAATACACTTGGATTTTAATTCCAGACAAGGAGGATGTAATGACATAGGATTGGCATCAAGATAGCCAGCTTTGGCAGAAGTGTGTGTTGAGTGTGTATGGGCGTGGGGGGGGGCGTAATCCCACAAAGACTCTAGATTTCCCGTGCCAGCCCACGACCTTTTATGAGTCTGCTGAAGACATAGCCACTCAAACTAAACCTATGCTGTGCACTCAGGCCCTGATGTAAATTATGGGGCCTTTGTATTTTTGTGTTCTGGGGCGAAGAAGAGGAAACATGTAGCATTTATGCAGCGACATCATTCCTGTGTGAGAAGCACAATAGAGAAGCTTTTTGTTTTAGCTTAATGAGTTACAGAGAATCACTTCCATGCTCCAGGCAGAGGGGTGGAGATGCTTGGAATATGAACCTTTGGGGACTGGGCCTGCTGCAGCAGAGACTTTAATAAAAATGCAGCCACCACTTTCCACCAGCTCAGCAGATATCATCTTTTATCCCTTTAATGAGGCAGTTCTGGTCCTAGGAGACAGATTCGGGGACGTCCCAGCTTAACTGCGTCTCACAGTGTACACAGGGTGAATGCATTTGCCCTGCCTGTGACTTTGATGGTTATGGAGAAAATAAAACATCCTGACCCAGATTCTGCAGCCAGAATTCCTGGCTCCTGCAAGGAGAGATTGAGGGTGGGGTTCCCTTCTTCCTGTTGCCTGTGATTTCCCTTGTGGAGCCCTTCCAGCCCAGGCTCTGGCCTCTTCCAGAGGAAGGGACAATAGCCTCTTAGACATTGCTGTTCCTTATGTGAACCCCGGGGTTAAACTTGGATATTTGCTACCTTGGGTGAACCTTAGGTGAACCTTCTTTTCAGCTAAATCCCCATCTTCTGGACCTTCACAGACCTTCAAAGGAGAACAGGGATGTCCCTTTCCAGACACTATGAGCTGCAAGCACTTCTGGCTCTGTGAGCATCCCTTAGCTTGTAGCAGATGAGAGTGCATTATCCTTACTTTGTGTGGTTCCAAGTCTGCTCTTTGAGATATGATTTGGAGGAATACACATTTTCAGAGGACTAGTGGTTTACAGGTGCCAACAATATATAACCACAATGTGTATGAATCTGGGAAATGTACAGGCACACTAGTAGTTGGAAGAGAGTTTGAACACTGCCACACATCTCTTTTTCTTACTTTGTTGGGGACAAAGAGTCCCATAAGCAAGGGGGATATCACCAATAAATTTGCAAAATCTGCTTGTCCTCCTCTTGCCCCTAAAAATTAAACTAGAAACTTAGAAACTTGGGCTTTTGCCTTCTGGGATGCAGTAAGATCATTCTACCAGCAGAGGGCTGGCTTCCATCTACCATTTTTATTAGCTGCTGGCCTGTTTTCATGATCTTCGATTCTTATGTTTAACAGCTGGGCTTGGTAATGGGAAAGTGAATAAAAAAGGAAAAGCTGAATAGTTGTTTTTCATGCTTGGTGGAAAACAACAACGTACATGTTCAGCTATGACTGCTGCTGGTTACCTGACTATTGTAGCTGATGTTAAAAGTAAGCACATTCCCAGTGCTGAGTTTTGCCTCTCCTCTCCTTTGCACATTTTCCCTGTGTAGACAAACATATCCCCATGTCCACATCTCACCCTCCAGGTATCTTCTTCATTTTTTTACCTTGTGTAGTCTTTTCTTTCATTGCTCTATTTTTTTTTATAGGGCACCTCCCTGAAATTCTTGGCTGTTTGTTACTCATGTTAATGCATTTCTTCCCTTCATCATTAATTCGTACCATTCTCTATGTGAGAACAGCTTAATCTCTTTGCTACTATCTCAACATTTCTTGAAGTAACTCGAATGGCCTGTGCAGATTTATGTGGCTCTTCATCTCTTTCCTTTTTCTTTTCCTTCCAATCTGTTCTATGAGCTGGCAGCTGTGTTCCCTTATCAGTAAAACTCGGTCCTCAGTTGTTCCACAGAGAGGTCACGTTCCCAGTAAGTGAAAGTCCACAGGCTTGGCCTGGGGGAAATCTATCATGTGTTGTTTGGTAGTCTTTTTGCTCTTTAAAAAGTATTGCTCATTTTGTTTATTTTTTGCAATGCTGAGGAATCAAATCATTAGCCTTATGCATGCCAGGAATAAGTTTTATCACTGAGCTGTCTCCACAGCCTTACAGCTCTATGGAAAGTCACTTTTAAGTCTCCTTAAAAGAGTTCATTGGCAATTTCTTGCCTGGGAATTTAGTGTTCTGTAAATTTTGATGAATTATGTGGTACCCACACCTAGCTGTTGTGCCCAAATTATGAACCCCCAAATCACCAAGAAACCCTACCCAATGCAAGAACAAAGAGTCTTTAATAATTTAACAAGTTAACTGTATTAACTCACATCCTCTGTCATTTCAACAAAGTGGGTGGAGCCAGAAGGACCTGAAGGAACCTAGGGGCAGGGATTTTATTGTGGCAGAGCAAAGAGAGTGTCCAAGGGTCCACAACAGTCTCAGGATTGGTGCACTTCTGAGGTTGGGTGACCTGGCCTGTGTTTATTGGTCAACTGGCTGCCATCGCCTATAGGCCCACCCAGAGCAGTTGCTATGCTCTGTACATCACTGCTACCATAAAGCATATCCAGAGGCCACCAGCTAACTTCTGATTGGTTCCTTGCTATGTGGAGGGTATCTGGCTTCCTAGTGACTGGGGCAGTTCCAGCAAGGTCATGTTGGAAACTCAGTAACATCTGCTGAGTCAGAGGCCTACATCTTGCTGGGTCTTTTCTGCAGCCTGTCATGGCTGCTAAAGAAGGGGGCGGAGTGAGTGGTGTCTGGTCCCTTCACTAGCAATATTAGAAAACCCTCTCCAAGGTAACTGCCCCAGTTTACATGACCTCTAGTCTGTTCCTAATTCTTGAGCCAAGTCAGGCAAGGAGCAGAGACCTTAAAGTAAAGCACAGAAACCAGATGCCCAGGTAAACCCTCAGATTTTCCTCTGAGAAGTTCCCCAGGTCAGAAGAGCAGTTGTTCCCTGTGGGCGATCAGTTTTGTGTAACAGGCCTCTGGTTGTACTGAGGGACCTTCAGAAGAAGACCCTAAGTTTTCAGTATACATGAAAACTCATTTTACATAAGTGAGATGACACTATCATCCCTGTAACTACTTCATAGGGCTGCTTGAAAAGTAAAAATAATTATTTTAATGTTGAGTTATTTTGCCTTTTTTGGAGGAGAGATGATATGGAAAATGAAGGTGCTATTCTTTATGGTTGGATTATAGCTTCTATGAATCTGATTTGAATTCATTATTACAAATGGGCCCTCTTGGCCGGGATCATTTCATTACAATTATGTGCTGTTGGGTTAAAAATGTTCTGTGACTTTCCATTAGATTAGATATGACAAGTATCTGGGAGTCCTCTGTCCGAATCAATGCCCATATTCAGATGGGTGCCCAGGGTCTAGGAATGGGCAGCTGGCATCTATGAAGCCTTCTCAGCAGCAGCCATCAGCCAGCCATACTTTCTTCATGGGTCATAGGCACCTCTTGCTTCTCTTTAGTTCCTCTGTGGATTTTTGTTTCCCAGTTCACATGGATATTTTGAGGGATGCCATAGATGAGTGATACTTGTGATAATTTGTTCTAAGCAGTGGCAAAAGCCCATATAATGTTTTTTTTATTGTTGCTGTTGTTATTATTTGTTTGCTTCCTTTTTCATAGTAGAGTAATCTGTGGCTGATCCATGTTTGCCGATCTGGGATTATGCTTAATGGCACTTTTCTAAACCATCCTGCATCTTCGCTTGGAGCTTTGAGGTAATCCATTCCAGAACAAGCATTCGAGGTTTAGCTACTGCCAGAGAATAATCTGGGCATTGGAATTTTACCAAAGCAGCTGGTACAGTGGAACTCCCAAGGACAGCGCCCTGGTGTTGAACTGGGTGATTTCTGTCTTGTGCACCCATGGAAAGCAGCTTGCGGTTTTGCACTAATTAGGAGAGCTATCAGGTCTTCCAAAGTATGCATGAAACCTGTGTATGTTAATGTTGAAGGTGCTAAAGTTAGGGCTTGTGTCAGCATGAGGTAGTTCTCTTGATTTGGGAAAGATGAGGACATGAAAAGCCTTTCCAGCAGATCCAGTCTGAGAAAGAACCTCCTTCCTGGTGGTCGTAATAACCTGAGCTTCTTGTGAAGGCACTTGAGAAACTATTTAAAATATCCCCTTGAAGGTGAGGTTGAGTAGACTTCATGCTAAACATGGGTGAGGCCCCTAGTTTCACCCCCAGGAAGAATCAGAAAACAAAATTCAAATGTTTGTCTCAGAAACGGTGGCTATGAATGTGGGCATTTAAAACACTCTCCCAGCATTTCTCAAGTAAGCTAGAACTGAGATCCACTATTTTACAGGATTTTTGCCTTCTAATATCTGAGCAAGAATGCTTTCTAGGGTCCTTTCTTTGTGCTGAAACATCTCCCCCATGACATGTTATGTGCCTCGTAGCTATACCAGTGCTCTAGAAAGAGCAGAGCTCAGGGCCTGCACACCTCTGGCTGACTCTTATCTCACACTGGCTGTCTGATCATGCTCAATTCAGTATGTTTGTGTACATACGGGAACAATTTCTGCCCTGTCTATAACATTAGATGAGGAAAAGCATACATAGATGTTCTGTTAACATTAAAGCCAT